TGAGCACTGACTGTGTTAGAAGACCTATAGGAAGGGCTAGAGACGCAAAGAACTGGCAGGTGCTATCCGCAGCCAGAGTGACCACAGTGCCCTGCTCCTGGGTTCCAGCCTCAGCCTTGACAGCCCAGCCTCAGACACAACGCAAGATGCCACACACAGCATCGCAGCAGGCTCGGGGCACAGACCCACCACCCATTCCATGCACCCGTGAATTGACACAAAGGCTACACACAAGCTCTCTCTCTCTCTCTCTCTCTCTCTCAGACACACACACACACACACACACACACACACACACACACACTGTCTCCGTGCTAATTCTCGCCTTTGATCACGGCCTCTCGTCTGTCATTACCACTCAGTGTTGACAAAGCAAAATAAAAAGAAAGAAAGAAATCCACCCTGTCACTTGGACTCCCCCCACCCCACCCCCAGCAGGCTTGGCAGCCCCCACCCCACCCCCGCCTTTGTATTATGGGTTTATGTCAAGGTATGTTGGATTCTAAATTAAATGTCAGCCCACCGTACATTTCTGGCTCCAGCCGCAGAAAATGAGGAGCTGGCTTTGGAGACCATCCAGTCGTTCAGCTCCCCATGCCTAACCATGAGGGGTGACAAGCCCATTGAATCACTGCACGGTAGCTTTCCACGCCACGGGAAGCCAAGATACATTTATTTTTAATGATAAATGTGACTGTCAGAGTTAAGTTGAAAGAGCTTTATGGTGAGAGCTGAGTGCCCTTGGCAGTGCGGGCTAGAGGCTGAGTGGATGGGGACCAGAGGTCCTGACCTTCTGGCCAGCCAGTCCCCCAGGCCCCGAGAGACCGGCACGTTGGCTATTCAACCCACGTCCGCTAAGCCCTGCTGCAATGCTGGCTCAGTGCCGCTTGCTGGGTGGCTCAGGCCCAGCTCTGGCAGACCAAGAGGCATCGAGGTATTGAAGAAAGAGAAGGTCTCTGGAAGTGCACAGATCAGGGTTCAAATTCTGCCCCACCAATAGCTGTGTGGTCTTGATCAAGTTACTTAACCTCTCTGAACTTCTGTTGCCTCATCTAGGAAATGAGGCTAATAATAATCCTCTTGGGTGAGGATTACTTGAAATAAGATGGTATTGCTAATGGTATTGCTGTATCTAGCACATGGAAAATGTTTGGTAAATGGTAATTCCATATTGGTATTTGTTTTTTGAGCCAGAGTCTCGCTCTGTCGCCCAGGCAGAGTGCAGTGGCACAATCTCAGCTCACTGCAACTTCCACCTCTCAGGTTCTAAGTGATTCTCCTGCCTCAGCCTCCAAAGTAGCCGGGATTACAGGTACGTGCCACCACGCCCGGCTAATTTTGTATTTTAGTAGAGATGGGATATCACCATGTTGATCAAGCTGGTCTCGAACTCCTGACCTCAGGTGATCTGCCCACCTTGGCCTCCCAAAGTGCTGGAATTACAGGTGTGAGCCACTGTGCCTGGCCCCATATTGATTATATCACCTTATTAATTACACAATTACCCAGGTATGTAACTTACCTTTCTAAATCAGTTTCCTCATCCACAAAACAGGGACAATAGTACCCACTTATTAGGGTGACTGGGAGGATGTGAGGTGCCCACCACAAGGCTGAGTAAAAAGGTGCTGCCAATAGGTGGCTGCTTGTCAAGGCTGGCACCCTGAATGTTGTCTGCCTTTGTCCCTGGCTGCTCTCCCTTGTCTCCCCATGGGCTCTTCTCTCCACCCCTCCAATGTTGCTGTACTACTGCCTTTCCTGCACCCACACCCTGCTAAGGGAGGGGTCCTGCATTGGGACCCCGGCAGCCATGCCCCCACACTGGATCTGACCAAGATCTGAGTGGTTGGTACCTGACCAAGGACAGCTGCCTTTGGCCATCTGCCACCTATGACTGCTATGCCCTGGTTCAGTCCTAGAGAGGAGTTGCCCGTTGGTGGGGCCATCAAAACGAGGTAGCCTTGGAAAGGCAAAGTAGGAGCAGGCAGAATTGGTGAGCCAGAGAGAGGGAAGTGAGGGGACGATCAGAGCGTGAACAAGCACACCAGGCAACCTCGAGTCTAGTCACATGCCGCCTCTGGGTCCTGGGTCCTGGCACCCCGAGGTCCTGGCTCGTCCCTGACAAGGAATGCTCAGTCTCAGGCTGGTTGGAAAGCCCCGATTCCTGCTGAGCACAGCCAGCCTTGCCCCCAGGGCTCTATGGCCATCAACCGGTCCACGGGAAATCAGGGTGGAGGGCCTGTCTGCTCTGTGGGGTTGGCTGCTCTTTCTCTCCCACAGATCTTGGCTGTGGGTCAGCACTGGCTTCTGGAATCCTCTTCCATTGCATTCCTCTCATTTGGAGGCTCCAGTGCTTGGGGGCGGGGGGCGGGGGGGGCCTTCTCTCAGGACAATGCCCTAAGTGTGTCTGAGCAGACACCCTCAGGCTCATGCCAGTCCTGCATCACGGCTGACCCTTCTCCTGGGGTGTTGAGCAGAGGCATCAGCACAGAGCGGGTGACAGAATGAGGCCCGCCCCCAAAGACACATGTAAAGCACACCCGCAGGCTGCAAAGTTGAGGAAACTGTGGCTGAGCAGGTGAGATGATTCAACCTCCAACCTCCTCCAACACTCCCAGGAGGAGCCGCTAGGTGGCCCCCGCTCACCTGTCCAACTGCCCTTCTGCAGGCCTGGGAGGAGATGGTCCAGAGCGTCCCCGCGTTGTCCAGTTTGCATCTGCCCGGGTACGCCCTGGTCACTCCCCGAGCTCCGCCTTCCCTTCTGCGGCCCCGCCATTGGACATGCCTTTCCCTCAGCATCCAGACGTTTGGATGCTGCCTTCATGAGCCTTGGGGGCGGGCTCACACCCCTCCGTCCCAGGATGCTTCCCTGACTGCCCGGAGTACTCCCGCAAGACCTTCTCCATTGTCCATTATCACCCCTCTCTCAGATTCTTCGTTCAGCTCCCCCCACCTCCAGAGTGATCTTTTATCTGTGCACACACGCGGCCGGAGTTTACATCCTCTCCCCAAACTGGAGTCAGAGCCTTGCAGTTCTGCCACCTGCCTGTTTTGTGCCCGTAACTGCACAGGGGCCTGCAGACCTCACCACTCCTCACCAATAGGCAAGTCCTTGTTTACCAGTAAACTGAGGCTTGGGGAGGACGTGGCATCTGCCCAAGGTCACAGCCGGAACACCTGAACCTCGCCCTGCTCAGGTGCTGTGACACTCTGTGGCAGAGTCCTTCTGAAGCGTGTGCGGTTAACCCTTTGGCTTACATGGGGAAACTGAGGCTCAGAGAGTTACGTTGCTTGCCCTCGGCCACACAGCCAGGGACGGGTGCCCTCCACCACATTCTTCCTCCTAAGCCTGAGGGCTCTCTAGGTCACGTGCTGACCCCCTTAATTCGTAGGAAAGGCCCAGGGACGAGAAAGAGCCAGAGGCCAGAACTGGAACCTGGGTTTCCTGACTCCCAGCCATTGCTGCGGATCCTCTCCAACTCCCAGGCCGCCTCTGTCCGGAAAGCCCGGATCCGGCCGCAGGTGAGGCCAGTGGCGGTCCTGGAAGGAAAAGGCGGCTGGGGCAAACAGCTGGTGGTTTGTGAACCCAGCGCCTGGCGGGTGGCAGGCTCCTCGGATGGCACCGGGCCACGGGGTTCCCCGCTCTGGAGCCCAGGGAGTGCCCCGGCCCAGGCTGGACGCGGCCCCCACCCCTAGCCAGCCTGCCCGGCCGGTGCCGGACGCGGAGAGGGATCCGGAGAGGGACGAAGACGGGGCGACAGACTGGCAGCCAGTGGGGGAGAGACGGAGACGGTGCCAGGGAACAGCGCGGCGGCCAAGGCGCCCCGGGAGCCGGAAAACAGCTTTGGGGAAAAGCGGGGGCGGGGAACGGGGGTGTCTATCTGAAGCTGGGGGAGCAGAAGATGGGGCCGCTGCAAGGGGCGGAGGAGGGGCGGCCGGTGGACCCAGCGGGGCGGCGGGAGGGAAGCGCGGCGTAGGGCAGTGTGGGCGCCTCCCGGTCGGAAGCCACAATAGCAGCTCGTTCGCCGCGCAGATTAAGGACTTTGTCAGTTACCACCGAAGGCCGCTCCGGGCGGATTAAATGCTTTTAAAAGTGCTGCTGGTGGGAAGGGGCAACTAAGAAGCCCCCTCCTGGCACAAATCCCCTCCCGGCGGAGGAGGAGGCGGGGGCTGGGAAAGCACGGGGAGCGCCGGCCGAGCGCGAAGCGGCTGGTACTCGCGACCACTGTGGCAGCGGCGGGAAACCCCATTCCGCCCGCGGGCCGCCCGGGCAGGGGGTTGTCGGGCGGGCTCTCGGACCGCGGGCGCGAGGCACTGGTCTGCGGACGCGGGCCGGGGCGCCCCCAAGACCAGGCTCGCGCGTCGGGGTCCGGAGTGGGGAGGTCCCCGGGAGGCTGGAGCCCCCACAGCTGGGCGTGCTTGCCCCGGGACCTGGACCGAGACCTCGGGGGCCGGCAGGGAGCGCACCCCGACGACCCCGCCCCCGCCCCAGCCTGAGTCTCGGGGCCAACCCTGCGCCCTGAAACGCTAGGAGCGCCGTGCCACTCCCCGGAGACTCGCGACTGCCCGGCGGGTGTGCCTTCGGGGCCCGCCCCGCGCCGCGCCCCCCGCGCAAGGTGAGTCGTGGGAGTCCGGCCCGGGAGGAAGTTTGTGCAGAGGCGCTGTCGGGGCCGGGGGGTGGTTCTTGGGCCCTGCTGGTGCGGGCGGGAGCCGTGCGGCCCGCGGCTGTTTGTTGCCCTCCCGCCGGCCCCGGTGTCTGGAGGCCACTTCGGCGTCCTTTCTCTTGGCCTTTTCGGAGGCGGAGTTCACCATGCAAGTCCGCGGGTGTGTTGTGCGCGCGGGTGTGTGAGTGTGTCGGGGGAGGCCGAAGGGAGCAATAAAAAGCGAAGAGAGTCCGAGACAGAAAAGATGCGGAGATTGAGAAGGAGGGAGGAGGGACGAGGGAGGAGAGAGGAGCGCGCCCGGGAGGCGCGGGAGCCGGGAGCGGGGACGGCGCGCAGCGCGAGCGGCGGGCGTTGGGCTGGCGGCTCTCGCGCTCCCGCTCCCGCTCCCGCCCGCACACAGCGGCGCGCTCACCCGCACACGCCCGCCCGCTCCCGGGCCGCCCCGGCGCGGGGCACAGAGGCGGAGACCCGGCGGGCAGAGCGCGCCCCGCGCCCGCGCCCGCGCCTACCCCGCCACCTTTGCGCTCCGCAGCGGCGCGCTTTGCCCGGCGCCCCCGCCAGTCCTGCCGGAAGATGGTCAACGACCGGTGGAAGACCATGGGCGGCGCTGCCCAACTTGAGGACCGGCCGCGCGACAAGCCGCAGGTACGCGCGGGCGCGAGGACACGGGGCCCCGGCGGCTGGCCAGGCGGCGGCCGCTCGGGCTGACGGGGCAGGCACCCAGTGCGGGGGCTGGAGTTTGGGGCGCACCCCTTCGAGGCTCCGGAGGCCTGGGCCGGGATGGGGACCTTCCTCTCCTCCTCCCCTAACCGAGGCTTGAACTTGGGGATCTATGGGGGCGGCACCCCTGCAGGAGCCACACTCGTTGCAGGCCAGGTCTCCCCGGTCCTTGCGCCCCCAGTGGCCCCTGGTGCACGCGGGTGCAGAGGGAGTCAGGGACTTACAGTTCGCTGTGTGACCACAAACAAATCAGCTCCCTTGCTGAGTCTCCGTTTCCTCACCTCTACAATGGGTATCTTAACCACCCACAAAATCTCCACTCTGGGCGCTACCCTGTGCCAGGCATCTGGTCCTGAACCTGACCCCCTGAATCTCCTCTGCATCCTTCCCGCTTTAGCCACGGCCCTGCATACAGTAGGGGATCAATAAAGACTCATCTCCTGTAGGAACCCTGGGTATTGTGATTTTCTGACTTTTAAGACAAGGAAAGCAGGGCTCGGAGACCGTTGGCTCCTGCCCGAGGCCACGCGGCTTTGCTGGGATTTGAACCCTGGTCTGTATGCTCCAGGGCTGGTTCATTCTCCCTTCCTGCTGCCTCCTCAGTGGCAGTGGAGGTGGGGCTTGGAGGGTGCCCAGGGCTGTGCGGTGGAAGCAAGTGAGGGCAGAGCACCCGGGCTGGCCATCGAGGGGGCTGGAGTCCGGAAGCCGAGGCGGAGGGGCTGCCCCAGGGCTGCCCGGGGCTAGGCTGCCAAGGGACTGGGGCAGACTGGCGAAATGAGGCTGCTTGCTCACGAAGGAGAGGAAGGAATAGGGCTGCCCATTTTAAATTTTAAATTTCTCCCAGACAGATGTCATTGGGGAAGGAACAGTTCATCCTTGCAGCTGCAGGAGGGGAGGGGGCGGCACAGGCAGGCCTGGGTGGTCCCTTCCTCCCAGGAGCCGCAACCTGCTCATTCTTCCTGGTGTCACACAGCCATGGCCCAGGGTTCCAGCCCTCTATGGTTTGCAAAGCCCCTTTGCATTCATCTGCACTAGCTCCCTTCTCCAAGCAGGCTGGGAGCTGGCATGTCCCCACGTCACAGACCAGGGATCAGAGAGGTTGGGAGCATGCCCACATCACACAGCAACATTGACAAGAGAGTGGGGATTCAAACACCGGTCCAAGCACACACCTGTCCCTCTGCTTCTCAGGGACGGGCTGGCCCCTCTTTTAGGTCAGATCTGCAACTGAGCCACCTCCAGATAACGAGTCCCCTCCTGCTGAGATCTGACTTTCCCCGCTTAGCAAGAACTGTCTTAACTTCTAGACCTGTCCTCCAAGGCCATCCCTAGCTCGGCCCACTGTGCCTTCCCATTGGTCCCTTACAGGTAGCGACTGGTTGTCATTTGCCAGCCCTGAGCCCACACCACACCGCCCCACCCCAGTTCCAGATTTTTTCTGTGTCATCTTGTTTGCTTCTCTAGGCTTCCCAACACACACGGGGGACGGGGGGAGGAGGGGTGGGGGGGATGGGACGTGCACGTGCGCACGCACACGCACACACACACACACACACACACACCCCTTCAGTCAGGGACACCCTACTCAAAACCCAGCTCAAATGCTGCCACCTCCTCCAGGAAGCCTTCCCTGATGCCCTGTGGCTGTGACTCTAAGTTCTAGTAGTGTTTAGCCTGTGCCACTCAGCCACCTTGTCCTGGGCCCCTCCTGTATCAGGAGATCCCTTTGGACACAGCCTCCTCTGGAGCCCATCTCTGGGTCTCTCCCTGGGCCCAAGCTCCATTCCTTCCAGGCAGCTCAGGTCAGGCACTGAGGGTGTTTGCTGAATCAAACTGTGTGAGGCTTCGGCCAGGAAGTGCCTCAGGAGACGGCCAGCAGGCACTGGTCTGTCTCAAGGGGTGGTGCCTTCTGGGGGATGTGTTTGAAATGTGGCTTCAAGGCCTCCGGGCCAGGCCCCGCCTCCCTCTGCTGCTCCCAGTGGGGAGGCGTGGGGTGGGGGGGCACAGTTTTCAGCCGTCACCAGGCCACAGCCCAGCTGTCTGCCCCTTGGCATAGGAGGCAGCTCAAGGGCTGTGGCTCCAGGGCCCTGGGCCAATCAAAAGCAAGCGCCTGCCTCCCCTCACTGCCCCTTTGGTGACCCAGCGTATAGACAGGCTGTTCCCAGTGCCAGCTCTGGGCTTGTTTGAAGATTCAGACAAGAGGCAAGGCCTTTCTTGGGCCCGCTGTCAGAAGATAGAGTGCTGCCTGCCCTGGTTCCCTTGGGCCTGCCCTCCCCTGGGCCAGCCTTCCCTCCTCCCTTGCAGCCAGGTTTGCCTCACTCGCTGGCACGCTGTGTGGCTCTTGGTGACTTACTCCTCCCCTCTGGGCCTGGGCTTCGCCATCTGTAAAGTGGGAACAACGAGCTTCCCTTCCTCCTCATTTCACAAGGGCTGTGATGGAAGCCACGTGAAATACTGCTGTGTTTTGCAAACTGGGAAGCAGTGTGTACCCATGAGGAGGGTGTCTCACAGCAGCCTGTCCCCCCAACAGGCTGGCTGTGTCCTGGTCTCCCCTGTCTGAGCGTCGGGCTCCTTCCTATCAGAAGGGCCTGGCTGAGGCTTTTCAATAGGGCGAATCCTCTGGAAGCGTAACACAGACGCCACATTCCAAGCACCAGCTGGTCACAGGCCACAACTCTCGTTTCTTTTTTTTCTCTTTTTTTTTTTTTTTTTTTTTGAGACAGTCTCCCTCTGTCATCCAAGCTGGAGTGCAGTGGCGCGATCTTGGCTGACTGCAACCTCCGCCTCCCGGGTTCAAGCGATTCTCCTACCTCAGCCTCCTGAGTAGCTGGGACTACTGGTGTCTGCCACCATGCCTGGCTAGTCTTTCTGTATTTTAGTAGAGATGGGGTTTTGCTGTGTTGGCCAGGATGGTCTCGATCTCCTGACCTTCTGATCCACCATCTCAGCCTCCCAAAGTGCTGGGATTACAGGCATGAGCCACCGCGCCCGGCTGACACCTCTTGTTTCTTGGTCACAGCCACCCTGGGAGCTTAGTGACAGTGATGACGAACCCATTTGACAGATAAGGAGGCTGAGACTAAGAGCTGGAGCTGGGACTCGAACCTGGGTCCTCTTGGGCAGCAGATAAGGGCCTTGGAGGAGGATGGAGGGACTTGGTTCAGCCCACTCAGCCCGAGTTAGGGCTCCCGTGTCCAGGCTGTGTGGTTCTCAGGGCATCCAAAGCACCCGCTGTGAGTGGGTAAAGCCAGGTCCAGAGGTCCTGAAGGAGCTTTGTCCACGTGCAGCCATTTCTGGGGACCGCCTTGGGCCCGGTCGGTCCCAGCCCTATCCGGCCTCAGTGCCTCGTTGCCTGGTGGCCTTGGACAAGCTGTCAGCCTGGACTTTGTTAAAGCGCCCTCCCTCTCTCTGCAGAAGGAAGGGGCCTTCGCATCTTGGGGCAGGGGGAAAGGATATTTGCCAGGAGTTTGGGGTTTGTCAGATGCAAGGATCTAGAAATAGATATGATTCTTCTGGTCTTAGAGCATGGGGCAGGAAGTCACCCTCCAACTGTCTCCTCTGGTCAGAGGGCTTGTTTCTGAGCCGTCCCCAAGCCACCCCAAAGGGAGGTCAGCTTCCAACCCATCCCGGGCAAGAGCTCTTGATGCTTTCAGAATTTCCCAGAACATTTCAGAAAGAAAGGAAATATCTTTGGGAAGTTCTTCCTGTTGTCTAACCTAAATCCCTGCTGCATTAAACTTAATGACTATTTAGGGAGGCCCTACCTCATGCTGGGAGGTATAGCCTGGTGGATATGGTCTGTGCTTCAGGGAGCTTAGAGTCTCATGGGGGAAACAAGCTCACAGGTCAGGTTTGATTACAACCCATCATGGGTGCTAGAAAGATCCATGCCTCTTTCTTGTTCCCTGGGGTTTGGGTTGAGGTCACTGTGCTAGGCTTGGGGTTTCCCGAGCCCCTCCTTCTGAGCTCACTGCTTAGCCGGGGCGTGGTGTGGCTGAGGGTGGCATGGACAGAAGAAGGTGACTGGCCAGATGTTGGGTGAGAGAGGGAGGCCTGGGGAGGCGCCAGCTTTTCGGGGGCAGCAGGTGGGGTTGGTGCCATGGCCGGGTGAGAAATAGGAGGGCTCAGGCTTGGGGTGGAGATGCTGGTGTGAGCCTCGGTGGGCTTGAGGCCTGGGTGGGCCATCTGGGATGACAGGGCTGCATGTCGTGGGGAGAATGGCAGGATCCTTGCAGGAAACCGCTGGAGAACCCCCCTCCGTGGTTCCAGAGGCAGCTGCTCCCCAGGGAGTGAGAGAGCTGGGGGGCTTGGAGCCTCCAGGACGGGCAGAGGCTGGCAGCTCCAGGGGACCCTCTTGTCCTCTTGGACACCTTCAGCCCCTCCTCCTGCGCCCCTCCCTGTAGCCTGAGCCTCCCGGTGGCTCTCAGCAGGGTTCCGCTTAAGGTTCCCACTCAGATCTCACAGAACAAGCCTGCAGACTCTTCCTAAGTCTTTTGTGACCCCCAGAATGGCGAGCAGAACCACCAGCTTTCACCCCCAGGGGGTCCCTGGGACCCTCCCTCTGCCAGGGCCAGGGGCTCATAGTTCAGCCCTGACTGGGAGCCATGTGACCAGCCGTGTGCCCGGCCGGGAGCAGAGTGGGCTCCTGGGGAGGCAGAAGGAATGCCCCCAAGGTGCTGGGCTGAAGCAGGGGGCCCGGTCCCCCAACCCAGAGAGCCCATAAGGCCCCACCCAGGCTCTGTGCAAGCCTCTGCTGGATTCGGAGCGCACAGGACCCTGCCACCTTCAACTTTGCATTCCCCAGTACGGAGCCCAGGATGTGTTTTCGCCTCGCTGAACAGCAGAGGGCTGGGTGCTCTTAGGAGATGGGGGTGGGTGGCAGGAGGGCCCTCAGCTGGGTCTGACCTGGCCTGGCCTCCCCTGCAGGGAGACTTTCTTATTCCTACTTTCCTCTGTGGAGTGCGGCCCCAGTCTCCTTGGGGTACTCCTGCCAGCCAGCTCCCTTGGGGGAGAGGGGGAGGGGACGTGCCAGTTTAGCAGAGCACCTTGGTGTCAGATCCCTTCCTGCTGAGCCCCCCTCTCTTCCTCGGAACCCCCACGGCTGGGGCCTCAGAAAAGGCAGGCTGGACAGGACTCACCTGCACCCGAGGCACCCTGGGGGCCGCTGCCCTCCTGGCATGAGCCATAGCCTCCTTGTGGCCAAGGCTCCCTAGGCAACTCTGGGTGAGCACTGGGGGTCTCACAAGGAACCAAGCTGGGTCCCTCCAGCTGGAAGCACATGCCAGCGGTCAGTGGCAGAAATGGGCCTTGAACCTGGGACTCCCGGCTCAGGTCCCGGCCCGGATCCCCTGTCTTGGGAGCTGGGGGCTCTGTGGGCATCCTCACCGTTCCGCAGACCCCAGGGAGTGCACCCTGCTTGGCCACAACAGGACGGAGGCACCAGCCCCAGGCGCTCAGGTGGGCTCCTTGGTGCCCAGAGCCCCCCTTATCATCGCAGGCACATTTCTTCACGAGGCACGTAAACGGCAGCCCATAAAAGCCAACAGTGCTTCATTCTTAAGGTGATCTCTGAAGACTCATTCTCCTCTGCTGAGTGCCCTGCGACATCTCCAAGCTCCTCGGTCCCCCTGCCTCTAGGGGACCCCCTGCGGCTTCCTCCAGCCCCTCCCCATTTCAGGACCCTCTGCCTTCCCACCAGGGAGGGTCTTGGGTGGGAGGAGGGTGCAAGACACAGCAGGGGTGCAGGAGACACAGGTGGGGACGGCTAACCTCTCTGCCACGCCAGTGCCAGCCTCGCCAGCCGGGGGACCTTTATGCTACAGTGTCTGGTGATTCGGCCCAAGCTGCTCGGGGCAAGGTGTCTCCCGACGGGCTCCAGGAACGAGTGTGACAGGGACTTAGCTGCTGACACAGAGCTTTGTCTATCAAACCCAGCCGTACAGTAGGCAGAGGAAGGAAATCACAGGGTGGCTGAGCAAGCGGCCCTGGCACATCCGCCATCCGGAGTGCCCGGCCCTGGGTCCAGCTTGCCTCCCCCACAAGGCGCTGGATGAGGGTCTTGTGCTCTGAGCCCCAGTTTTCCAATCCGCGTGGTGAATTCAACCAGAGCACCGACAGCACAGGTTACCCGGAGAATTCAGTGATGGGAACATGGTCCGTGCCCAAGGAATGGCAGCGGTGGCGCAGCGCCCGCCTGTCTGTAAGCTGCTGGCCTGCAGGCGCCTGGGGACTGGGGATGGCCTGAAGCTTGCCCATTCTGTGCCAGGCTATCAGAGGTGAGCACAGGGTCAGAGGCAGCCCTGCTTCGGGGCCCAGGGCCCAGCCAGGGTCTTGAGCCTCTGCCCTGCCAAGCCAGGTAGGTCCCAGGAATGCCCCTTCACCCCCTTCCCCATGCCAGCTCCTTCCTCTGTCCATCCGCCCGTCCATCCAGCAGCGGCCGTCAGGTCTGCTCTGTGCCAGGCGGTGAGCAGATCCCTATCTGTGGAGGGGCTCACAGTCCAGGGCAAGTTTCCTGAACTTGGGATTCACTAGTCCCTGAATCCCCAGAGACTGTGCCCACAGCTTTCTCAAGACTCCTCAAAAGGATCAGAAAGTCAAGAATCAGTCTATGGAGCCGGCATGGTGGATGGCGCCTGAAATCTCAGCACTTTGGGAGGCTGAGGTGTGAGGATTGCTTGAGCCCAGTAGTTTGAGGCCAGCCTGGGCAAAGTAAGGAGACCCTATTGCTACAAAAAAAATTTTTTTTTTAAATTAGTTGGACACCTTGGTGTCAAATCCCCAGCAAGGCGTGGTGGTGTGTGCCGATAGTCACAGCTACTCAAGAGGCTGAGACGGGAGGGCTGCTTGAGCCAAGGAGTTTGAGGCTGCAGTGAGCTAGGGTTGTGCCACTGCATTCCAGCCTGGGTGACAGAGTGAGTCCCTGTCTCTCAAAAAAAAAAAAAAAAAAAAAAAAAATCCCAGTAATCCCAGTCCATAGAACAGGAACTCCCCCTGAGCAGGAGCTGGGGCTGACTGGTCCCCTGATACCTCCGCAGGGACTGGCCCAGAGCCTGGCTCGTGCAGAGATCTAGCGCATGTAGAATAGATAATTAAACGAATGAGTGAGTAAATGAAGTCAAAGGCCACAACAATCTGTCTAATTTTGATAAGCACCCTCTTGGGGGGAGCAGAGAGGAGGAGCCCCTCCAAGCTGGGAGGAGGAGAGTGGAAACAGTCAGGGAAGGCTTCCTGGAGGAGGTGACAGCCGAGCCCTGAAAGAAGAGAATAAATTAGGCTGATGGAAGAGGAGGAGGGGAAGCGGATGCTCCTGGCCGGCCAAGGGAGCAGTTTGTGCAGAGCTGATGGAGGGGAACTGTGCGTTCGGGTCTGGCTGGAGTAAATTGTCTTGAAGCGTGGAGCCGGGAATGGACGTGGCTCCCAGGGGGACCGGGCAGGCTCGGAGCGCTGAGTCCTGGCAGCCGCATGACGGCAGGGACAGGCCAAGGAACTCTCCTCCGAATCCTGACAACAAAACAGATCTCTTTCCCTGGGGCCTCCTTGTCCAGGCGCGTCCCCTCCACCCCACCCTCTTCAGGTGCCAGGCAGGTCCTATGGCAGTCCCTTGTAGAATTTGAATTTACAGAAAAGACTCTTTCCTCTGCCGCATTTTCTCCGTGGGAGGACACAGTGATGTAAGAGGCATCTATCTCTGTTTAACGTATCACTAAGAAAGCAAGCAAGCTGTCAATCACAATTGTAAGATGTACCCCCCGCCCGCCCCGTTGGCGATTCAAAAATGTGAAAAAAAGAGAAGGCGCCTCCCAGCATTGATGACACACCGAAATAACACTTTGGGTGGAAAAAAAAATTTTCCTCCAGATGCTGTGTGCACATTGATCATGGGATAATAAAAGCCACTAATATTTATTGCGTGAGAACAGCATGCCAGGCACGGCTCCAAGCGCTTTAATATATGAAGTCATTTAAAGACGAGTCTCAAATTCAGAAAGTCGAAAATGTGGGGCAAATATGTCTGAGAGTTGAGGAAATTCAACTGTAGGCGGGGCCTGGCCCCGGGAGGAAGGCAGGAGGTTCGGGGGCCCAATCCCAGTTCTGCTTTTATTTGCTGTGTGACTCTGGGCCAGCCCCTTGCCCTCTCTGGGCCTCAGTTTCCCCATGTGTGTAGTGCTCAGGGGCTACCAGCGAGTCTGCCCAGTGAATCTGGGCCCCTGAAAGTGTGTGCGGCCACACTATGGCACCTCCTTTCACCGCAAGCTGTTCCTCAGCCCTGGCTTCCGGCCAACACAGGTCTTTCTTGCGCCTGGCCTTTGGTCCCAGTTTTGAGACACAGCTTGTTCTGGAGTGACAGCTGCCTGTGGCCTCAGCCCTCTCCTCCTTGGAGCGCAGCAGGCCTCTTCTCTAGGGTTGCCTTCGGGCTACCTGGCCCAGCGACTTGGCGTTTGCCCTGCCAGGGGCCTGCTCTGCGAAGAGGTGGAAGAAGGAGAAAGGATGGGGTGGGGTGTGAGGAGGAGGTGTCTCGGAGCCCCCGGGAGCCCCCGCGTGCCCTGGGCACTGGAGAACAGTGGGACAGAACACAGGATGTGGCTGCTGTTGTTGGAAGGGACCTCCCGTGACGGGTGCCACCACCCCAGGGCACTCGTTCCCAGGGACAGCGCGAGACCATCTCTAGCGTCGCTGCTGTGGCATCACAGCTCTCTCTGACCCACATATAGAGAGGTGGGCGTCTCTGTATTGCGCCATTTTACAGGCAAGGAAACTGAGGCTCATAGAGGTGAGGCCCCTCGCCCAAGGTCACACTGTGGGAAATGCAGCTTGGAGACCTGAGCCCTGGCTCGTCTAGCTGCAGCGGTGGGGTCTCCATCTCCAGCCCTTACTGGGTGGGGAGGGCTCCACGGGAGTCACACGGCCACACGCACGGGCGTGGGTCCCTGGGCCGGCACCATGCAGAGCATGAGGGCGGGCCAGGGGCAGCGGAGGGATGGCTCACCATTCCCTTGTGTGTTCGTGTCTTTCTGCCTCAGTTTCTCTTTCCCATCCTCTCTGTCTCCATCTCCCCACTGGGGCTCCGCCTCTCCACTTTCTCCCTGCGACACCCGCTGTGTCCCTCCCGCTGAATCTGTGTGCGTCCCTGTCTCTCCGTCTCCCCTTGGACTGTCCCTCGGTGCCTGTCTCATCTGTCTCTCTGTGACACCCTTGCCCAGCCCCCAAGAAGGGGGTCCTCTGAGCCCGGGTATGCCTCTAATGCTGCCCCTTCTCTCTCCCGTCCCTCTGTCTGTCTGTGTCTGTGCGTCCCGGGCGGGCCTGCAGCGTCCGAGCTGTGGCTACGTACTGTGCACCGTGCTGCTGGCCCTGGCTGTGCTGCTGGCGGTGGCCGTGACTGGGGCTGTGCTCTTCCTGAACCACACCCACGCGCCGGGCACGGCGCCCCCGCCTGTCGTCAGCACCGGGGCCGCGGGTGCCAACAGCGCCCTGGTCACCGTGGAGAGGGCCGACAGCTCGCGCCTCAGCATCCTCATCGACCCGCGCTGCCCCGACCTCACGGACGGCTTCGCCCGCCTGGAGAGCGCGCAGGCGTCGGTGCTGCAGGCGCTGACCGAGCACCAGGCCCAGCCGCGGCTGGTGGGCGACCAGGAGCAGGAGCTGCTGGACACGCTGGCCGACCAGCTGCCCCATCTGCTGGCCCGAGCCGCGGAGCTGCAGACAGAGTGTGTGGGGCTGCGGAAGGGGCACAGCACGCTGGGCCAGGGGCTCAGCGCTCTGCAGAGCGAGCAGGGCCGCCTCATCCAGGTAGGGCTGGGGTCTGCGTCTTGGGGTCTTGCCGGAGGCAAGGGGTTGCTGCTGCCACGTGCCAGATGCCTGATGTCCACAGCCTCACTTCATCCCCAAGTGGCCCTGACAAGGGGCTACTGCTGTTCCTATCTACAGACGAGCCATGAGGCTTGGGGAGGTGCAGTCACTCATCCCACTGCACGGCTCGTGGAGCCACGATTCAAACCCAGTTTCTTTCCCGGTGACGCTGGGTCATTGTAGGACGCCCCACAGCATTTGGCGTTCAGTCAAATTCAGGGCTTGAGGGCTTCCCTAGTGCACCAAGATGCCGCTGAGGTAGGGCATTGCCCCATCAGGGCAAACGGAGGCTGAGAGAGGGGCTGTGATGCGCTGAAGGTCATGTGGCTGCTCAGCGCTCCCAGGTCAGAGAGAGCTGCACCCCTCCCCCCTACCCCGTCCCAGTTCACGATTATGCAATACCCACAGCTTCCCAAGGACGGACAGACCAGTCCAGGCAGCCCAGCCACACCCGTAGCCTGTCCCAAACCCCCATCCACCGTCCCGTGCCCTTTTCCCAGCCAAGCCAGGCTCCAGCCAGCCCAGGTGGGTCTGGATGAAGCTTTCCAACTCCAGCCCTGAGACCATGCCGGAGGCGCCACCCACAGGCAGTTCCTCCTTCACAGGATGTGGGATTTGGGATCATCTCATCTGACTCTGCCATTTTCCAGGACAGAAAATGGTGGCTCAGAAAGAGGTGGTGACTTTTCCTGGGTGTGGTGGCCAGGTCAGGCTGGGAATCCAGCTGCCCTAGAGCCCTGCCCCGCCTCTGGCCCTGTGCCATGCCCTCCTGGTAACTCAGATCCCTGGAGGCTGGGAGCCAAGCCCCTACCCCGACGGGCACCCCAGGCCCCTCCGCCCCACCCCCCAGCAGCCACTAGGAGAACCAGGCATTTGGTTACTCATGAGCAATGGGCCCTTTCCCTCCCTCTGAAGGCTGCAGCTGGAGAAATTACAGTCCTCATCGCCTTGTCTGGGTGACTGATGGGAAGGTGGCTCCCCCTCCCGGGGTGGGAGGACGTTTCGACCGCCTTCCTGCTGCCCCTCCATCTGCAGTTCCCCAGGCAGGTGGGGGCGGGGGTACCTCCTGACTTTTCTGGTTCGCCCCCCACCTCACTCTCCAAATCGCTCAGCCCCTGGTCAGCGCAGGCCCAGCTCATGAAGGCCCACCCTTAGAGCTGGAGTGGGGGATTTAGAAGGGGGACCCCAGAGCCCTGCCCTCCCAATGGCCTGCACAGAGGTACAGAATGTTCCCACAAGACTAACGGCCTTTCTGGGCCCAGGAGTGCGGGCTCACCTGACATATTTACTTCCCCAAAAATGTTTGATTTGACTCATTCCCCACAGACTGGATGATTCAAGAGACAGTGTGTCTTTATGTTTCATTCAGAGGCAGCGAGCGTGCTCCTAACTCCTCCTTCCAAGCTTCCCAGACCCTCGGCTGATCAGCACAGATGTGGGCTTCTCAAAGCTGTTCCCGAAGGCACCCTGGGTTGGAATGGCCAGAGGAGCTTGTTAAAAGGCAGCTTCCAGCCGGGTTTGGTGGCTCATGCCTGTAATCCCAACACTATGGGAGGCTGAAGTGGGTGGATCATGAGGTCAGAAGTTCAAGACCAGCCTGGCCAAGATGGTGAAACCCCATCTCTACTAAAAATACAAAAATTAGCCAGGCACAGTGAGCAGGTGCCTATAATCCCAGCTACTCGGGAGGCTGAGGCAGGAGAATTGCTTGAACCCGGGCAGCAAAAGTTGCAGTGAGCCGAGATAGCGCCACTGCACTCCAACCTGGGTGATAGAGTGAGACTCAGTCTCAAAAAAAATAAATAAATAAAATAAAGGCAGCTTCCTGGAGAGGCACGGTAATGACTCACGCCATAATCCCAGCACTTTGGGAAGCCGAGACGGTTGGATCACTTGAGGTCAGGAATTCAAGACCAGCCTGGCCAACATGGTGAAACCCCATCTCTACTAAAAATATAAAAGTTAGCCTGGCAGGCATCTGTAATCCCAGCTACTCAGGAGGCTGAGGCAGGAGTATCACTCAAACCCAGGAGGTGGAGGTTGCAGTGAGCTGAGATTGCGCCACTGCACTCCAGCCTGAGCTACAGAGTGAGGCTGTCTCAAAAACGAAAAAGAGGGCGAGTTCCTGGGCCTCATCCCCAACCTCCTGCAGCCCCCCGGCCTGGGGTGATGCTCCTATGCAGTCCCTGAGGCCTGCTGTTCCTGGCTGAGCTGAGCCATTCAGTCCTGAGGGTTTGAGTCCGCAGAGCTGGGACCCAGTCCAGGCCCCATCCATGCCAGCTGTGGGATGCTGGGCAGGTGGCATTCCCTCTCCGGGCTGGGTCTTCCCTGTGACATGTGCGTAACTCGGTCTATGCTGAGCGGATACTGGAGCGCCTGGCTGCGGGGCTGGGCTGGCATCTGTTTACGTGGGGATACTCACCGTTGGCACCATCAGCATCTCCTTATTCCTAGAGTAGAAATGGTTGATGAGCCGAAATTTAAAACTGTGGGCAGCCACCATGCCACTATTGAAAACACCCTTCCCTTTTTTTTTTCTTTTTTTTTTTAAGATAGTCTTTCTCTGTCACTCATGCTAGAGAGCAGCGGTGCGATCAGGGCTCACTGCAACCTCCCCGTCCTGGGCTCAAGAAATCCTCCCACTTGGCCTTCTAAGTAGTTGGCGCTACAGGTGTGCACCACCATGTCTAGCTAATATTTTTTATTTAAAACTTTTTTTTTTTTTGTAGCGATGTCTTGCTGTGGTACTCAGGGTGGTCTCAAACTCCTGGCCTCAAGCAATCCACCCACCTCGGCCTCCCCGAGTGCCAAGGTGACAGGCATCGGCTGCTGTGTTGGAGTGAAAATCCCTTTTCCGATAGGAATGACAGGCCCACACTGTGTGCTGGGCTCCGTGCTGAAAGGCACTTTGCAGCCCGATAGCCCCAGGAGGTTGGTACGTTTGCTCTCCCATTTTCTTTCATTTTATTTTTATTCTTTTTGTTTGTTTGTTTGAGACAGAGTCTTGCTCTGTCACCCAGGCTGGAGTGCAGTGGCACGATCTCGACTCATTGCAACCTCCGCCTCCCATGTTCAAGCGATTCTCCTGCCTCAGCCTCCTGAGTAGCTGAGACTACAGGCGTGCGCCACCACGCCCAGCTAATTTTTTTGTACTTTTAGTAAAGACAGTTTTTCACCAGGTTGGCTGGGCGCGTCTTGAACTCCTGGCCTCAGGTAATCCACCCGCCTTGGCCTCCCAAAGTGCTAGGATTACAGGCTGAGTCACCGCACCCGGCCTTGTTATCCCATTTTACGGAGAGGCGGACTGCGGCTCTGAGTGGCGGGTGCCTGCGCAGACTGGCTCACACAGCCGAGCAGTGCCGGGAACAGCAGCAGCTCCCATGCCACTGCCTCAGCGCTGCCCAGCCAGCCCCCCGCACGCGCCTGTGCAGCTCAGCGAGCAGGGACTGACTTCCCCATTAATTCGGGGCATGTCTAGATGTACATTTTCAACTTTAATCATCTGCTGGTTTAAACGGAGGTCTTCCCTGCCCGTTAGCAAGAGGGAGGAGGCCGTGCCTGTTTTTTGAGTGCGTTGTGGCTGTGTTGACTCAGATAAACGGGCAGCACCGGTGTGAATTAACCAAGTGATCTTTGCCGCACACGCATCGCAGGGAGGCCCCCACCTCTCGTCTTCCTATAGGGGGTGCTCCCTATATCCCTCTGTGAAGCACCCCCGACGGAGCTCAAACGCTCTGCCTGCCCATCTGAGCTCCTCTCCCCCCTGGTCTCAGCCCTCACTGAATCACCTGCTCAGCAGAGGGGAAACTGACAGGGAAACTAAGAGCTTTGCAGGGCCCCTGCCTCTGGACGAGCTGAGAATCATGTTTTGTAAACTGCTGGCACTGTATATTTCTATTTTCCTTCCATGAATGGGCTATTATCTGGCAAGTGACAGGTTCGGTGTGTAAAGACCCGGCCAGCTCCAAGATCGCTGGCTGGCCAGCTGTAGCCCACTACTGCCTCACCCTCCACCTGGTCCTGCAGCCCAGGGTGGGGGCAACAGACCCCAGACCCTTGAGGCATCCAACACAGGTGGAGGTGCTGGGGGACAGCATTGCACTTGGCAAGCTCCAGCCTCAGGCTGTGATAGAGGGAAGGGTGGGAGGGACGGGTGCAGAAGCACGGCTGAGCTCGCCAGCCCAGGCTCCCCTGAATCCCCCACTCAGAGAACCAGGGCTCCTTATCTTGGGTTACAAGGAAACGGAGACATGGAGACGTTTGGATGCTGTTCCAGGGTCACACAGCTAGTGAGTGGGGGAGGGACTGGAGTCAAAACACAGGCAATCGCCGGGCGCGGTGGCTCACGCATGTAATCCCAGCACTTTGGGAGGCCGAGGCGAGTGGATCATGAGGTCAAGAGATCGAGACCATCCTGGTTAACATGGTGAAACCCCAGTCTCTACTAAAAATACAAAACATTAGCTGGGCATGGTGGCGCGTGCCTGTAATCCCAGCTACTCAGGAGGCTGAGGCAGGAGAATTGCCTGAACCCAGGAGGCAGAGGTTGCGGTGAGCCGAGATCGCGCCATTGCACTCCAGCCTGGGTCACAAGAGCGAAACTCTGTCTAAACACAGGCAATCACCACCAGAACCTGGTCCAGACCACTGCCCCATCCCCACCCTGACCCCGCTTTTCCGCACAAGAACAGGGTCCCAGGCTCCTTTTCTGCCAGCCAGCCTGCCCTGGGGAGGTATCCTGAGTCGGTTCCCATGCCGTCCTTCACTCTCAGAGATCGCTCTTTCAGGGCCTCAGTTTCCCTATTTGTTACAAGAGATGACAACCTTAAATCTTCCCTCTTTGCAGCACTATGGGGGGCCCAGTGAGGTCATGGACATCGGAGAGACACAGAAACTCAGTGATGTTTGCATGGGGTGTGGGGGTGGGATGGGGGGAGCCTTGCTGATCTGGAAGCCTGGGGGCCTGCACAAAGGCTCCTGCGGCCTCTCCAGCCTCAGGGGCACCCCTCTGTCAAGGGCAGATCAGTCACTCCCGCCTCAGTGGCCTTGCTCGGGATCAGAAGAGGTGGCAGTGGGAATGCTGGTAGCCTGGAAGGTTCTGTGGGAACCTGGTGTGCTGAGTACCCACCGGTTACTGACACTGGGCTGGCAGTTCCCACATGTTGTCACCGGTCCCCATAGCAGTTTGTCCAAGCCAGAGGAGACAATGGGTGGTGAGGACACTTACCCCCAGTCATATAACTGGCAAGTGGACGTGCTGGGCTGAAGCTGGATTTGCCCAACGTTGAGCGATGCCTCTCCCTGCACGGCACGGCCTCCTCCAGTTTACACCCCTGGGCTGAACACGCAGAGGTGGCTGAACACAGCCTGGGGCAGCAGGGGTGGCAGGTGCCTGCTGGAGCTTCCTTCCCCTCCTGCTTGCTCCCTGGTCCTCTGAACCCTCGGGGTCCCAGAGCACAGGCCCCATCATAGCCCGGCTGACCCCTCAGACCACCCTGGACAGGGACCCAGGGGCCAGGGCAGGATGGAGGCTGCCACTGAACCAGGAGCCCACCTCTGCCTCAGGGGAGGGCCCACTCTGGCCAGTAACATGCTGTGTGCGCCACCCGACCCCCAGCAGAGCCCCTGCCCACTCAGCCCGCCCCCTCGGCTCACCCTGTGTCCTCTGCAGCTTCTCTCTGAGAGCCAGGCCCACATGGCGCACCTGGTGAACTCCGTCAGTGACATCCTGGATGCCCTGCAGAGGGACCGGGGGCTGGGCCGGCCCCGCACCAAGGCCGACCTTCAGAGAGCGCCTGCCCGGGGAGCCCGGCCCCGAGGCTGTGCCACTGGTGAGTGGGGCAGGGGCTGTCGTCCTCTGGGGACTCGGGTCCCAGTCTGGGGATTGGGGAAGCTGGGGTGAGGGTTCCCCAGCCATGAAATTCCCAGGGCTGGACCCTGCGTCCATGTGGCCTGTGCAGAAGCCCTTTCAGTCCATCTTTGAGGAAAGTAAGGCCCAGAGAGGGGGACTGACTCACCCAGCCTCAGCAGGGGGTGGCAGAGCCAAGGTCCGACTCCCAAACCCAGTGCTGTCTCAACCCTACAGTGGACAGACAGCGTGGGCAAGGGGGCCGGGCAGGAACGCCATGGGGGCTGCAGCCATCCTGATGGCCTTGCCTGCCTCAGGCTCCCGGCCCCGAGACTGTCTGGACGTGCTCCTAAGCGGACAGCAGCACGATGGTGTCTACTCCGTCTTTCCCACCCACTACCCCGCCGGCTTCCAGGTGTACTGCGACATGCGCACGGACGGCGGCGGCTGGACGGTGAGTGCCTGGGGCCGGGCGGGCCGCAGGACAGGCATGGGGGCCGGGGGGCCGGGTACCTGAACCCCAGCCTTCCCAGAAGGGCCCCACTTAGCCCTCCGCTGTGGACCTGTGGACTGGCCCCGCCCCCCCCCCCCCGTGCTCTTCTGTCTGGCCTGACCCCACCCCTACAGAACAGGGGGCACAGGGGACTCCGTGAGCAGACCCTGGGGGGCCCCCTCCGGAGCGGACATTAGGCAGGAGCCACCGTGGGCTCCCTGAAATCCCCAGCCGTGGTCCTTCCAGCGGGGCGTTTCCCGGCAAGCTGGGGTTCAGGCCTAGGAGGACACGTGGCAGCAGGAGCCTGTGGCTAATGTGAGTTGAAGGTCTGATGTTGGCGTGCGCCTGACTTTTCTGAACTACCCAATATACGGCGCATGAGCCGAAGAGAAAGGGGGGTATGGCTGCTGGGAGCAGAGACCCCCCGAGGCTACGGGCTGACAAGAGCTGTCTGATTCCTGCGCCTCCTGGTTCCTGCCTGGGTGGGAATTGAGGGAGATGTCCCAACTGCCAGTCACAGGGCAGGCCCAGGACCGCAGCAGATGCCAGGAGAATGGGGCAGAGGCCCTGGTTTGAAGACCCCAGGGCAGCTCCAGAGGGGTCTCCAGGAAGCCCCTTCCTGAACTGAGTTACACACTGTCTGCAAAGGGCCGGATGGGGAGGCGTCGAGCCCTGCGGTCCGCACAGTTCCACGAAGGACGGAGGGATGTTGTTGCCACTGAGACTATTGGCGTCTCAGTGGCAGCAAAACCTCCCTCTGTCCTTTGCAGGGAAAACAGCCGCAGAGCAAAGCAAAAGGCACAGGTGTGGGGACAGCTGTAGACACCGAAATGTGAATTTTATAACATTTTCACATATTCTTCCTTAAATGTTATTTAGTGGATATTTAAATTTTTTTCTTTTGACTTTTTAAGAACCATCTTAAGGCAGGGCTTAGTGGCTCACACCTATAATCCCAGCACTTTGGGAGGCTGAGGCCAGTGGATCACCTGAGGTCAGGAGTTCGAGACCAGCCTGGCCAACATGGTGAAACCCCGTCTCCACTAAAAATGCAAAAATTAGCCAGGTGTGGTGGCGCGCGCCTGTAAACCCAACTACTCAGGAGGCTGAGGCAGGAGAATCACTTGAACCTGGGAGGCGGAGGTTGCTGTGAGCCAAGATTGCGCCATTGCACTCCAGCCTGGGTGACAGAGCAAGACTCCATCTCAAAAAAAATTAAAAAAAATAAAATAAATAAAAACCATCTTCAAAGTTCAGACCCTTCTCAGCTCCCATGCTGCATATAGGCAGTTGGCAGGAGCTGTCCTCTGGGTGGGGTTTGCTGACTTCATCCTAGAGCTGGGGACCCCTGGTGGTAGGAGCCGAGCTCACTGCCCCCTTCTCCCGCTGGGCTTCTGACGCCCTCCTGAGGCTCAGGCCTGGGGTTGGGCCTTAGCAGGGCCGCCATTGGCCGCCGAGGGATTGTGTGCACATTTTAAAAATGCATATTTCTTCCTTTGTGCATACCGGGATGCTGGGCTTGGAAGAGAAAGATGTGAGCCCTGCCCACTGGCCAGGTGCTCTTGAGCAGTGAACAGCCTGCATTGCTGTCCCTGGAGGTCATGCCACCCCAGAAGCTGCTCGGCCGGGAGAATTGGCTCTTTAAGGCTTCTCAGCTTCACATTTCATTTCAGTTGGACAGACATTTTTGAGCACCTACTGTATACTGGGTTTTGGGGAAGCCCCTGTCCTAGTCCTCCCGAGGAGTTTACAGGCCAGGGAGGATTCAGGGTGGAAGAAGTCACTGCAGCAGAGGTGAGGGTAAAGCGTCCTGGCGAAGGGGACATTTCTGATGAGCCATGAAAGCAGGGAGGATTTCTGAGCACCGGCAGGAGGGAGAAAGCATTCCAGGAGGAGGGGCGGCCTGACGAGGCTCTCACAGCTCATTCGGGGAGCAGGGCCCGAGAGATTTGTGGTGAGTGAGGAGGTGAGGCTGGAGTGTCCGGCCCCAGGCTGCGGGGGGAGCTACTGGGGTGCTAAGAGGAAGACGGGGTGGGGACTGTGCCTCGGGAGAGGTGAGGAAGAGGAGGAGGCGTTTCGAGCGTTTGGTCTACAAGTCTGTGATGGGGCCCCGACGCCAGATGCCAGATGTCAGAGAGGCAGGGGGCCGGGAGGTTTGAGCTCTGGCTCCGTCACCCACAGGCCGCCGGGGCGTGGCTCTCAGTCCTGCTGTGTGACCTGGGACAACTTCCCCCTGTTCTCTGAGTCCCCTTTCCCTTGGCTGTGAAATGGGGACACCTGCCTACATCCTTAGAGCTCTTAACTGCAAGCACAGGAGTGTGGGGCGCTCAGCCCAGAGGGAATGTGCTAGAGAGAGTCTGGGAGGCTGGAGACACCCGGAACAGAGGCCCCGGACCAGACCAGGGGTGGCCGGGTGAGAAACCCACTGCCCCAGGGCTGCTCCCACCGAGTGCAGGAAGCAGCTCAACCTGGGTGTGTCCCCACAACCCAGATGGATGTGGGGCGGGGGCTGGCTCCATTCCTGCAGCCCTTGCTTCCTCAGCTGCTTCCAATTGGTGGGCCTGAGTCCCAGGCCTACAACCTCCCTGCAATTAGCTGGCATTTTTAGCAGCTACGGTGGGAATCACCTGTGCCTCCTGCCAAACCTCAGAAAATGAGGAAGATGGCCAAGAAGACAGACGTCCATTTTGGTGCCCGTGGGGTTGAGCTGGGCTTCTGTTACCAAACGCACGCACAGCATTTAGCGTGAATGGCTGTGACAGTGAGCCCCGCCCCGTGCCAGGCACTGGCAACACCCCAGCCATCCAGAGTGTGTGTGACCCTGCCCCCAGCCAATTCCTGACCTAGAGGGAGGCCACCATGGTCCAGGAGATGGAACGGGGGCCTGAAGCCGTGGGAAGTGGGAATCCGGCTCCTGGGGTGCCCAGGTGGGGGCTTCCCTGGCCTCTGACCTTGGACTTGGGGAGTGAGAAGAGGCCTGCACAGTGCCTCCGTTTCTCACCTGGGATCTTGGTGTTGACTACTTTTCTTTCTTTTCTTTCTTTCTTTCTTTTCTTTTCTTTTTTCTTTTTTCTTTTTTTTTTTTTTTTTTTTTTTTGAGAGACAGAGTCTCGCTCTGTCACCAGGCTAGAGTGCAGTGGCGTGATCTCAGCTCACTGCAACCTCTGCCTCCCGGGATCAAGCAATTCTCCTGCCTCAGCCTCCCGTGTAGCTGGGACTATAAGCGCATGCCAACATGTCCAGCTAATTTTTGTATTTTTAGTAGAGATTGGGATTTCACCATGTCGGCCAGGATGGTCTTGATCGCTTGACCTTGTGATCTGCCCACCTCGGCCTCCCAACATGTTGGGATCACAGGCATGAGCCACCGCGCCCAGCCGGTGTTGACAATTCTTGGAGTATTGATGTCCAGGCCCACAAACGTCTGGAGGGGGTTAACATCAGACAAAACAAGTGCCCGAGAAACAGGAGAGCGGGAAGCTTCTTGGCGGGGATTTGTGGCGGGAGGCGGGGTGCAGGCAGCCCCGATCAGTTTTGAAAGGGGTCAGCCAGCCCCTGCAAGGGCAGGACGCAGGGAGGCCCGCACAGGCTGGCGGTAGAGGGGCGAGTGCGCCAGCAGGGCAGAGCCAGCCGTGTTAGGAGCCAGTGTGAGAGCAGACGAGAATCCCCCCAAGACCCCAAAGACAGACACATCTCTAAACCTGTCTTCAAGCTCCGGAGGAGAGCTTTTAAATGTACTGGATCTGCGTCTGGGGGATGAAAGCTCTTTTGTTTTCCTAACGCCAAGAACGAACGTCTGAGTTATGGCATTTGCTTCTGGGACCCCCTGGGCGGGCGGAACAGTGAGAAGGCACCAACCGAACCCAGAAATCAGAGTTAAGGGTCAGGACAGGCTTAATGAAAGATCAGGATGCCAGCGCGGGCCATGCGTCTTCCACTCCGGTGGACGTGAAGCCAATCTCCCGGGAAGTCAATCAGGATTTGGACTGGGAGGCGGGTCGTTCCGATAGCCCCTGCTTTCTCCGGGGTCTCTGGGAGAGAGGCTTCTCATCTGAGAAGGGCTTGCCTGGCCAGGGAGCGTTAATATCCATTTAGGCATCCATCAGAAGCAATCTTTTCCCAGGAACCTCTGGACATCTGTCAGGATCGCCCCCCTGCCACACGGAATCTCTCAGAAACTCAATTTTTGTTTGGGAAGGAGCTGGCTGCTGCCTCTCCAGCCCCGGATACCATCCATCCTCATTAGGTTCCCTGTCCAAACTGCCAGGCCTTGAGTGCCAACGTCACCTGATCCTCCCTGGAGGACAGGGCACCTGAAGCTGTGCCCCGGAGACTCTGCGGCTGGACACTCCCTCCAGAGCCTGTGTGGGCGAGGGCAGAGCTCAGCAGCCCTGTCCCCAGGGCCACTTTACAGTTCATACGCCCCTGCTCCCTCCCTTGGCATCACACCGGCACCCTTCAATCCCTGGAGGCAGACAGGGCAGCCTTGGAGAAGGCCAGGGATGTGCCCACGGTCACTCAGCAGGCTCTAGTCCTCCCTCGGTGGCACACGCTTAATCTTATCTTCAAACCCGGAGCGTCCAAAGCAAGCCAGGCTCAGGGAGGTCAGCAGCCACTAGACAGGTCAGTGAGCTCCTGGCCTGGCAGACAGAAGGACATGACAGCTGATTTATATCAGGGATGGGGAGCCCCGGGGCCGGGAGGAGAAGCCCCTACTCCAGTCTCGGGGGTGGGAGGAGTGAGGGGCAGCAAGATGGTGTGTCTTATTTTGGGGCCGCAGCGGCTTGGGGCTACTGGCCTACCTGGTTTAAGGAGGTTTGGGTCCAAGACAAGGCGGGGAGGTGGCAGGGGCTGGGTCTTGCAGGTGATCCTCAGGCCCCGTCATCATGCCCATCATAGGTCCAGCCCTTTCGTGGCAGGAGTCCCAGGGGCAGGGACCATACCCTCTTTTGGCCACATTA